TGGAATGGAAATTCGGAGTCATGTCATTCTAGGCTCTTAAAGTGAATATTAGGAATAACACTGGTTGTTATAAAAAAATTATAAACACCTAATTTTATAAGGAGATTTGCTGATTAATTTTTAACTATGTTATAAACAAAGCTAGCTTTTCTTGTAGAGAGTTTGTGTACTTTAGAGGCAGTTCAATACCTTTTACATTTTCCAGTCTCTAGACACCAGGATAAAATAAAGACAAAGTCCAAACTGAAAAAAATGTCATTGTATTTTCTTTGAAACCATACATGTAGATAAACTCTGGATTGGCTTTTNTATGATATTACAAACAAAGGAGCAGGTAGAAAGAAAAAGAAATATTTAGTAATGAGGTTTTTTAATTGTTAAAGGGAATATTTGAAGAAAGAATTTTTTAATTATTCCTATTTAGCTGTATATCCAAAGCCTATGTTAAACAAATTAACATATAAAATACCTTCCAGAAAATTTTTCATTATGATGAAATTTTTATTATATACAAATGAACCCTATGTAAATGATGTAACTTTTATGAATAACAGACATTAAATATTTCACTTACATGTGTTCTCAGAACTTTGAATGTTTTCTTAAGTGCTTTCGCTTCTTGAATACTAAAAAAGAAAAAAAAATTTAAAAAGAGACAGCAACTTACTACTAATAAAAAAAAGGCAATGCACCATGACAAGTAGACTACTTTGAGTGATCTTGAAACATGTTGGTTTTGTCAGTAACTTGAGTGTTTATGCCTCACTGAAACCTCATCCATGGCTGAAGCAACTTAAGTAGATTTTCCAATACATTTCCAGCCAGTTTATTCGAATCCTTGTCCTACAGCTTCGCCTTCTCTCTCTGTTCTGTCACCTATGGCAGTTTCATATAGAAATATTTCAAATCCTCGCCTGGTTTTACAGACCTTTAAATATTTGTCTGGGATGTGACATGCGGGAAGAGACCAAAGAAGGGAAGAGACCAAAGAAGGAAAGATCATCACTGAAATTAGACATCCGAAAAAAATAATACAAATTTGAAACAGACACATTTTTAAAAAGTAAAAGAAAGGAGCACTAATTATGTGAGTGGGAAGAGAAAAAAGCATGTGACGCAGAGCTGGAAGGTCTAGCACCCGCAGTCTTCGAGTCTGGGCGACTGCACACTGTTGCTTGGAGGGATAGAAAAATAGGGGCTTCTTAGTTGGGAGCAGGGAACTAAATTTCCATAGCTTCCGCCTCCCAAATGCCTGGGTTAGTCTAACTTCTGGCAAATTGATCTCGGGCAAACAAAGCTTGACTGAGAGCCTCAGTGTGCTTTGATCGAACAGCCAGCCACCTTAATGCTGACTGACACAGGGGGCAGGTTTTTGATACCTCAAATAATGATAAAACTCCATCATGAAGGACCCAAAGCAAAAACCTTCAAAACCTCGGAGATTTTTCATCACCTAAAAAGCGAATAGCTTTACTTCACAAAATTCCAGTAAAATCTATTGTACATTCTTTTACAATAATCTTTCTTTGGAGTCAAAACATGTTTTTGTTAGTTACATATAAATATCATCTCATTTGCTGCTGCAGTGTGACCAGCAGAGGTGTTGTGGTAGACAGTTTTAGAAATGGGAAATTCTGGAATGGAAATTTGGAGTCATGTCATTCTAGGCTCTTAAAGTGAATATTAGGAATAACACTGGTTGTTATAAAAAAAATTATAAACACCTAATTTTGTATGGAGATTTGCTGTTTAATTTTTAACTATGTTATAAACAAAGCTAGCTTTTCTTGCAGGGAGTTTGTGTACTTTAGAGGCAATTCAATACCTTTTACATTTTCCAGTCTCTAGACACCAGGATAAAATAAAGACACTAAGTCCAAACTGAATGTCATTGTATTTTCTTTGAAACCATACATATAGATAAACTCTGGATTGGCTTTTTGGATCTGTTTTCTATTTTTAGTAATTGGGAGCCAACTCGGAATATTGAAAAATAATAATCATCTGATGCAAAGCCAAAGTTCTTTGCTTTACAGCCAATGTCAAAAATAGGGAGTTATTTTCTTTATGGTTTACTGTTGACTTTAAACATTTCTATAATGCCTAACCTGCCTTTGTAATATTTTTTTCCCAGAAGAATATTACAATTTATCTTATATTCAAAATAAATTATAATAATTCTAACTTAATATATCATTCTAAATGCCCTCTGGGAAGATTTCCATTTTTTTTAAACCTGGTTCTGTAGCAAAGAAAAGAAAAAAAATTCAGAATTGTACATGATACTCAAGGAAAGATCTATGAATATTGATATAAATAGCAATATTTCCATAATTAAATTTCTGTTTAACTGTACTGCAAAGTAGATATTTTTATCTAACATCACTCCCCATTTGCTACATTTTTCTGTGAATATAAATATGGTTGACTCTCCCTTATCATGTGTCACTTCAACAAGTTCTCTTCCCTTGGGTTATTCATTTTTGCTTCTTTGCATTTACATTTTACCTTGTGCTGAAATAACAAAAAGCTGGCAAAAAGTTCCAGGTATTAGCCATATGTAGAAAGTTCCTGGTGTGAATTTCTGTGTACTTTTTCCTCACATATTAGAATTGTTGGGAACATTTTTTTCCATTGGAACTTCCTGTTGACATCTTGCATGATCTTATAATCTGAAGAGTAACTCGATACCTTTTATGGTTATTTGAAAATAAAATTTACTACGTATAAGATGCTCCAGTCTTTGTTGCCTCATATTATGTATGAGTATATTAACTTTTTCTGTATTTTCACATTGAACCAGAAAGTATTAACTTCAGAGAATATCTAAGTTGTTATTTGTGACAAACATACAGAGATGAAGAAATTCAAAAGTGAAAGCATCTTTACTTAATCATTGTCTTTCTGCTTCTTTTCCTTTTCCAAAGCAGCAAAAATCATGAAGAACTATCAGCTTTATCTCTGACATTCAAGACTTTTGACAGCTTGCATCACTTAAAGTTATATTTATTATTCAGTAAACTTTAATTCTATAGAATAAATGCCCTTGATGAAATGTGATTTTTGAAAAGCACAAAGGTGTTTTAGGATTTCAGGCAGCTGAAGCTGTTTGAATTCTGCAGAGTAGTTTGTCAGAGGAAGAATATATTTTAAACATAATATTTGTAGCATTTTCCCTGACTGACCTAGATGCTGTATAGGAATTTTAAAGAGCTACAAAAACCTCCAAAACGTTATGAAATAAATAATGAAGTGATGGTATTTTTCTGTAACATAAATTGAAACAATTTATTTTATAAATACAACTACATGATTACTTTATTATTTGAGTGCAGATCTGAGATTCCTCCTGGTATGTGTTAATGACAAGGAGATGTTTATATTTCCAAGTGTTCTGATATAGTTCTCTATTCAATTTTTTTTTAATTCAGCATCATAAACGTGTGTGTGATTATATGTGTTCTATATTTTTGTTCTAACACCCATGAAAAGATATATACTTTTAAGAAAAAAGGTTCATCTACTTTAAAACCAGTTTGTAATTAAAAGCAAAATAATGGCAAAGTTTCTTCAGCTGAGATACTATAATAGGTCTATGTTTTGTTAGCCGAAAATGAGGCTATGCTCCCAAAAGCTCCCTGCAAATGCAATTGTATCTTTCTAGCTTCTATGTAGGTTACTGTCTTCAGTGAGCTTGGTCATAACTTTGCTTTTAACTGGAATCATGTTGCTGTTTTGAACTTTTCTGTCCAAAACGTTTGACTAATGCTTATATTTCAACATAAACAACCACAACAAAAAAAGGCAATTTTTGTTGGAATGAATAGTTTAATTTACTTCATCTATTACAAGAGCCATAGTAGAAACAAAAGGTTCTTTCACAATTCAAAGAGTATATTTTGGCTTCAATTGAACATTATTTTTCTGTTAAAGTGTCTGGACCTCAATGAGCTTATTAGGAAATATTAAGTATAAATGTATTGATCTATTTGTGTATACGTATACATAAGTATCCACTATGGTATACTAAATGTGCATACAGTAGACCCCTCGTATTCATGAGGGATATGTTCCAAGATCCCCAGTGGATGCCTGAAACCATGCATAGTACTGAACCTTATATATGAGTATATTTTGTCTTTTCTTTCCTTATTAAGTCGAGAACTTTCACCTTTTCACTGAAAGGAAGCACTGGCTCCTTTGTGGCATATCCAAAGTGTCAACATCACTACTCTTGCACTTTGAGGCTACTATTAAGTACAATAAGGGTCACTTGGACAGAAGCACTGCAATACCAAGACAGTCAGTCTGATAACCGAGACAGCTGCCAGGTGACCAATGGACAGGTAGCGTAGACGATGTGGATAAGGGGCACAAGGGATGAATCATGTGCCAGGCAGGATCCAGTGGAATGGTGCAAGATTTCATCAAACTAGTTGGAACAGCACACAGTTTAAAACTTATGAATTGTTTATTTCTGGAATTTTCTGTGTAGTATTTTCAGACGGCTGTTGACTGGGTAACCAAGTAACGGAAACCATGGAAAGCAAAACTGTGGATCAGGGGGACCACTGTACTGTATAACAGATAGAGCTAGACCCCCAGTCTTACCAAGAGATTTTTAAACATATACGCAACTTCGGTAGCCTGAATACCTAACTATTAAATGTTGAATTACGAAGCACTGGTATCGACACTAAGTTTTTCTGTTTTTCTAGAGTGCCTTGTGTTGGAACATATTGCTAATATAATTTCTCACCATGGGCTTTGCTTTTGTTTTTATTTTGACTCAGATATGGATAAACTCATACGATCACTGTGTGTGCTGGAAAGAGCCTTACTAGACCGTCTGGTTTAAATCCTTATTATTATTTTTATTTTTCAGTTGAAACAGAAAGCACCCAGACAGATGTGTATTGTTTCTAGTTCAGAGAAAATCGTGGGCCTTCCTGCGAAAAGTATGGATATAAAGAGCTTTTCCATTTAATCTCTGCAGATTTCCTCTCTTTACCATTGCTGAAACAGTGTCATTGCAGCAGTATGGCCATTACTGTTACCTCTTAGTTACTGCTCCTGAGTCATTAGCGCAAGTTGCATTCCATTTAGAAACACTGCAATTATTATAAAACGCTGATGGTTATTACTTCATAGACTTTTCAGTAAATGTTCACAGGTTCTACTCAGTGCAACATTCTTCCCAAATTCTCTCTCATCTCACTTCTGTTCCCACTACACTGCTGAAACCACTTTCCTTAAAGTCACCAATGATCTTTTCCTTACCCACATCGTGGCATTTTCCCTGTCTTTATTCACATTGACTTTCGTGCCAGATTTTACGCCCCTTATTACTTACTTCTCTTTAAAACTATTTCCCTGCAGGCCGTGCACCTGCTGCTTCTCTCTGGGGCTCTGCTGACTCAGAGCCAGCACATCACGGTCCAGCTCCAGCATGTCCTCTGTGCTCCTGCTCCACTTCCTTCTCTGGAAACCACATTCTTTCTAAAAGCTTCAACTTTTTAGTGATGACTGCAAATATATTTCTTGGGACAGTCCCACCTGATGGTTCTGTTAGTGCTTTGAAGTGCAGCATAAGTGAAATTGGACTCACTTTTTCTCTCCAACAAACTTCTGGACTTTTTCATTTCTGTTAATGACATCACTCACGTTTCTCCCAGTCATGCAGACTGGGAGGTGACACATTCTCCATCACCTTCTCCTTCTCTCCTCTTCCTTTTTAAAAAATTATCTTGTGTCATTCTGTTGCCAAATCATATCAATCCTTTCTTTATTCTGTGTCTTCGATCGAGGTCTTTATCTCCTTTTGTTGCCATGGCTCTCAGTATTACACTCATTAGAGCTAAGTTTCCTTAACGTGTGAGAAGATATTCTCTGTAGGGAGTCCTGTGAGTTGTTTCTGCTGTTGTGCTGCTTCTCCCATCACTGCTCTCTGCTCTATCCTAAAAGTAGAACCAATGGTCAGAAGTGAAAAAAAAAATTATATCTAAATTATATGGAATAGCTTTCTTGCTAACAAAACCATACGATCTAGAAGGTGGCGAACATTCTCTGTGGGCTTTTAAAAAGAGCACGGTGTCACCTACTTGGAAGAGCTGGAGGACAGCTTTCTCAGCCCATGTGTAATTGCAATAGAATATACTTATTAATTTTACTTGATCAAATTTTAAGTATTTATTTTAAATTAAAGCATATAAGGATACACAATGCAAGACAATAAAAATGTTGCTTCGATTGTAAAGATAAAATCTGTGACTTCAGAGACAGTTTTGGTTTGCAGGTGGACCTCCTAGGAGGTCCAGGTTCGTAGGAACATTTTAGTGGAGGAGTTTGAGAAGCAGTGAAGTAGTGGAGTAAAGTCAAGGTTCTTCCTGGTTCCACCCACGTGTGACAGGTTTGGACAGACGGCAGACCCGGGTTCAGATTCTCCCTCTTCCACTGAGATTCTGGCCCAAGCCCTCACTTGCTCTCATTCCTCATCCTGCACCTGCACCTGTGTGGATCCTCTTCCTTCTGATCTCAGCTCAAATCCTTCCTGCATGTATGCTACAACAAGAGCAATCTTTCTAAACATCATCTTTCAGCTACACCTTCCTTCCCAGGAACTTTAATGGATTCCACTGTATATATGATTACATGTAAACTCCTCTCTGATACATTCAGAGTTCTTCATGGTACAACCCTGTCTTACTTTTCCAGCTTACTCTACACTCCTCCCCAACACTGACCATCCATTGTCCACAGCACATTGTATTCTCACTGTCATGTTTTTGCACACAATATCTTCTCTGATTATAAAACGCTTTTAATTACTTGTCTGCCTAAATCTTACATATTCTTTTTTCTTATTACTTATTGTATACATAATACTAACAAAGAAAATTTTTTAGAAGAAAGAAATCACCTATGATCCCCAAACCATCATATAACATCCACATAAAATTTTTCCAAGTTCTTTTCCAGTCCTTTTTTTAAAAAAAATAAAATTATAATAATTTTGCTAAAGCTCATAGCTTGGTATCTGGGACATGATAAGCACAATAAATGGTAATTGAATTTGAGTCTCAAAACTACCGATCATTTACATTATTCTAATTGTATCTCCATGAAAATTGACTCCATTAGCATTTGTTATAATTGATGCCTTCCTTCTTAACCACCCCATAGTTTTACTGTATATCCCATACACTTGCCACAAATAATATTAGGCCTTTATTATATACATATTGCAAGTTTAATTATTTCCCATGTCTCCACTAAATATTATACCTTCCTTGAGAAAAGGGACGGTATCTTATGTTCGTTGTCCTTTTAAAGGTGTGAGGAACATAGTCATTGTTCAATAAGTATTTTTAAAAATTGAGTTGTGGAGCAGTGAACTCTATCATAACTAAGTGGATAGGATATGCTGAAGGAGACATTTCGATCAGAACTCTGGGGGAAAGAGAGGCTTTCATTGTGAAGAACTACTGCTGACACATATAGTTCTTCATGATGGAGGTCAGGGAAAGGCTGATGTGGACCCAGCAGGACTTGTTCAAGTCTTACTTTCCTTCTCGGAGACCAATAGGTGCTTCACAGGGTTAACCTCTCCAGAATGAAAGTAAGCATGATAACCATTTTTATCGTACTTTGCAGCATATAACACCCTTCCTCTCTATGAATTTTTGATATGGAGAGGATCCCAGGGACCAGTCCTGGCACCTTGATTGGGAAGGGCAGGATCTCTTCACCCTAAATCTTTTGCTGAGGATACTGTATTAGTTCCTAATCTTGTAAGGACATTTACCACTACAGAGTTTTGCAGGCACACTTGAAAGAAATGAAAAGACTTAAAGCATTAAACAAGTCCCTAATGAGGACAACACAATCGCTACTACGGAAATATAATTTCTTACACAACAAAAAGACACTGAGTTGTCATACTGTTCACTTATCTGTCCCTCAGTTCTGAGTCTTGGTTTGAGTAAGACTGTGTACTGCCCTGAGCAGACTTTCTTATACATTCATGAAGCAAAATCTCACATTTCCATAAGCATAAATATTCCTTGAGTGCCAGATTAGTGTTAAGCTACATTTTTTCCTCCTGCTGGCAGCAAGTGTATCTGGCTCCAAACAACCTCAAACCGACAGCATTACCTTATCAGGATATAAACTAAGAGCAAAAATAAATTTTACACATTGATCAAAATTTGGCATTCAGCCTTTGAAGCGTGCACAGCACAGCTGTGAAGTGTTCACAGCACTTCCACAGGCTGCATCGTCGTGGTTAAGAATCACTGTGTTAGAGAAGGGGTACGCTCTTTTCTCCCCGAGAAGCTAGAGCTCACTGGTAATTATATATCTTATTATTTTCCAAGGAAGGTTGTTGATCTTGTATTCTTCACATTAGAAAATAGGTATTATTTTCCTCCACCAAATCAATGCTAATTATCTTTATTAAGCATGAACTATTTGTGATGCATGATGACCAATAATTGGCCACCTCTATACTAATAAAATAAATATGACCTTTAGATAAATACATAGGTGCTACTAGCAGTGAGGATTAATGAACAATGAATAAACTTTGAAATAAGAGGCTCTGAAGCATTTTTTGAGACAGGTGAACTTTTAAATTATGGTCTGGTTTGCACAGGGAATATTTAAGATCAGTTCCTCTCAAATTCTTCTTTTAAGCAACAAACCTTGCTAGCTGAACTTTCTCACAGAACTGAATATATAAAATGGATAATAATAAGGCTATTCTGGTGGAGAGAAGAGGGTGTAGAGAGAAAAAAGCTGTGCTTACACTCTTCTGTTTCCAGCCCCTTTGCACAACAGCAGTCCCCGAGCCTTGCCCTGGTGTCTGGCAGCTTCTAGGTGCACACTTTGGAGGCCAAAATTTTGGATCTAGTCTTGAGATACTGTTAAA